TCTCATGTGTTCTTAAGATAGTTCATTGCAGATGTTTTGAGCAGGTCATTCAACGAATTTGCTTGTTACTTTTGAAGGGTGTGTGTGTGTCTTCTAGATGGTTAAAAGTCACCTAAGATACTTCAAGTTCTGGTGAAGGATTCAAAAAGCTTGTACAAGGGCCGATGATCGCCTTGTTCGTGGAAGATCAACTCCAAGTTAAGTCTTGACCTTTTATGGTACCAAGTCATGATGTAATAGGTGGCCATACCCTCAGTGGGCTCTTTGTGGGCAACATTGTTGTGATGGTCCGAACCTTTCTCCATCAACGAGGAGTAGGATAGCGCCAATTATTTGAATCTAGGTAAAACATATAATATATTTTTTCTTCCTGGAAAGTGCCCCTATAGTATAAATAGGAACTGAAAGTCACATCCCCGAGCAGTTGAATATAGGTGGTGGGATTGTACATCAATTCTTTGGACCAAACAAGCAATGCTCATTTGCTACGCAATGCTAACTTGCACTCTTTTTGTGCCCCGGTTTGCTTTTCGACATCCCACAAAGCTATGGGGACATTTATCACTTTTGGAAACATTATATTTGTCGTCTCCCATAGAACTTGGAACAAAAATTAAGAGCTTCCCACATGAAACTTGAAAGTTATAAATTGAAACTTTCTTGAGTCTCAACAAACCCCCAAATGTTTAACTAACACATAGACATAATTCAACTAATTTTTTTGAACTTTGAACGGCGTTGAGCGATCTTTTGACATAATTCCGAAGCCTCCAACTGAAGTTAAGATCAGCTTCTCGACAAGGTATTTTGACCTTTTAAACTAAATTTTTGATACCTTCTTGTTGAAATCAAGAAACTTTTCTCTGTACATAGGGGAACTTTATAACTTTGCACTACACTTTTGTCCAACCCAAAACGGAAAGGAAAAAACATTGCATTTTGCATGATTTTAGTCAATTAGATTAGTGCAGTAATTCTGTCGTGATTTTGATGGTGGGCAAATGGAGACTTTAGAGCATCTCCAACCACAGCCCTATTTTTGGGCACGAAAACATGGTGAAGTAAAAAATTTAGAGCACAAAAGCGCCTTTTTTTTGCACAAGCAAGCGCCGTCTCCAACAGCAGCCCCATAATAGGGCACAAAAACATTTTTTCCTTTTTTTGGCACGAGCAGCACCATCTACAACATCAACCCTATAATAAAGCACAAAAGGCGGTACAAAATAGGGCAAAACTGCTCCAACAGCTGCCCTAAAATAGGGTGTGAGCGGCATGGAGCGTATTGGTGTCGGCGGCGGGGTCGGACGAGCCGGCCATGATGCACGGCAGCTAGCCGGCGGGCGGATTCGAGAGTTTCCGGCCGCATGCAGGCGTCCGAAAGCAGCCTCACGTTTTTGGGCATCCGCCCAAGTGTCCCAAATTTGCCGCACGAGGAGCCTCTTTTTAATGCTGCCTAGTTTTTTTAAAATTTTATTTTAAGATTTGGCAGCTGTTGGAGGCCTTTTTTGACCTTTCCTGGGTCCACAGGGCAGTGATTGTACTGCATACTGCAGATGATCCTACCCCCAAAAATAGGGCTGCCATTGGAGATACTTTTAGTCAGTTATAAGCCCGTCATGATTTTGATGCATCTCGCGCCGTATGAGTAATTTTGCATCTTGTGCTTCTATTTTTGCAAACACCTGAGTTTCTACCCCTCAAAAAAAGATACCCTGAGTTTCCTTTTATTCATTCCTCCTGTACAATCTGTTACTACGCTCCAAACCACCATTGCTGATCCAACCAACCTGTACTGTACATGCGTACTGCTCAGTGCTCAGGCAGCCAACATCGCTCTCCTCTCTCAGCCAACTTCTGGGTCAGGCCATCAATCATGGCCTGAACACAGCTCGCAACTCTCCTGATCTCTCGCCGACTCATCATCTCTCCTTAACTAACAACTATGCTACTACATAATGCTGCAGCCAGGATCCTGTTCTTGATGCTGATAAGCAGGAGGAGCAGGGTAGGAGGAGTAAACCGGGTAGGACGGCATGGCGTTGTACTGCTGATACGCGGGGTACGTGATCGGCGCAGCCGCGTTTTGAGAGTAGCCGCCGCCGCCGCCACCTTTGGAACCGCCACCCTCCTTGCCGCCAAAGCTCCCGCCGCCGTCGCCGCCGTATCCATAGCCGTCCTTCTTCTTCTCGCCGGCGCCGTACCCGTAGGCGGCGCCGTAGCCGTCCTTCTTCTTGTCGTCGCCGGAGGACACGCTGAGGAGCTCTGCGTAGCCTAGGCTGCGCCGGAGCATCGTCGTCAGCGAGATCGGGTCGACGCCATCCCCGACGATGATGATCTTTTCCCCCTCCATCGCCGCGGATGTCACGCCTGAGGAATTGAATTGAGCACCTCCTCGTAAGCACAAGAAGATGGAACGACGGATTACGGATTAACCGATTAACTGTTATCTGTGGCTTGTTCATACCTGACATGCCAACGGCAGCCTTGAAGGCCTTCCTCCTCTTCCTCTCATCATCCAGAGCCAACTTGAGGACAATCTTTTGCTGTAACAAATACAAAAAAATTCAGAACGACGCACAAAATTGAGCAAACTGAACACTTTGTCCTGGAACAAGACAAGCAGGTAACATACCTTAACCATCCTGCGACTTGCACCAAATCCCACACAACCTCTAGTCGATTTGTCCTTTTAGCTAGATTTGCAGCAGACTAAGCAGACTAGCTACTCTTGAAGAGTGGTTTTGCTTTCGTGCAATGTGACAGATGCAACAGACGAGCCGCCTCTTATGAGCAGCAAGGAGACGTCCTGGCCATTTATAGGCTGGCAGAGAGAAGAGAGGGACGAGGGAAGCAGCAACGAAGGGTCTGGAGAGAGAAATGTGGCCAAATGGGACAAAACAAGTAATCAGCCAATCAAACAGTGCATTCTCTATACTGAATTATTGACGCGCCTGGCTCTGTGCCAAACGCTCGAGCTGGCTGCTGCTCCTCCCTGAAGCTCAATATCGTATTAGTGGTTGACACTCTCTGCTCGGTGCTAATGCGGCAGAAGTTTCCACGCATTTGCTCTTGCTCCAAATTATCACACAGCTAACGCGCGCGCTCGCTCTCTCTGTCGGAGTAATGGGTCACGGGTAGGCTCACTCGAGACACAAAATTTATCAAGACTTTAGGCCAGCTCCGACTAGCTGAGCCTCAAGCCGAAACTCCGCCATCTGAGGCCGGCTGGCTCGGCGGCCGGCTGCCAGAGGGCGGGTTACCCAAGACAACGACGCTCCGAGTGGCCGGCTCCTGGCGGCCGCCCTCCAGAGAGGGCGGCTACAGGCAGGCGGCTACTTCACGACTACGGGGCGGCCGAGCTCCCATCAGGAGTACAAGACGAAGTATGGCTACAGTGAAGCACGTCGCCTCCCACGCTCGAGATGGGCGTGGCTACAGTGCTCCATACAGACGGAGATCTCCACATGACGGAGCACTGTGCCGTCTCTATCCTGACGTTGCTCCTAGCATGCGGAGTCCTGTTCCCCACGACGGCCTGTCGGTACAGCCCGCCAGAGGCGGGCCCTATCGGACAGTGACCCCAAAGAAGACGGTGGAAGTTCGACCAGGTGGATCAGAGAGGGGCCGACCTCCAGCAGGCGGCCGTCCCTTGCCCCGAGGTGAGCAAGCCATTAAGCTGACAAGACCAGGTGTGGCTACAGTGTCCTCCCACCAGGCGGTGGGACTGTAGCCACGCTAAAGATGACCAAGCCCCCGTCACTGGGGATACGGCTACAGTGAACAGCCACCAACCAGTCGGCAGGGCCCACCAGGCGGAAGGCCCCAGCGGTCGGCGGAGAAGCCAGAGGCCGGAGACACTGACGGCCGGGCCCGGCAGCCGACCAGATTACCATTGTACCCCTGGGGGTAGGCCTATATAAACCCCCCAGGCCACCCATGCAAAGGGTTCCCACACTGAGAGAACTAGCCAGAAACCTAGGGCCGGGGAGAGCTAGCCTTGCCTTCTCCTTCCCCTAGACACAGCTCAAGGAGCACTTTGTATCACTAGTGCCTTAGTGATCACGCGGAGACCCCGCAGAGCAGGAGTAGGGGTATTATCTCCACGGAGAGCCCCCAACCTGGGTAAAGTTCGCCGGCGTATGTGTCTACGCCTCATCCCGCTTCCAGGCACCGGCGACATTCTACTCGCTCCCACCATGATAAGCCATCCATTGGCATATGTCGCACCCAACCCCCGACATTTGGCACCCACCGTGGGGCGAGGTGCACCGTCTCCCGGAGATCTGCTCTGGACGGGAACCATGTTCCTTCCTGGCGAGCAAAGCCAACCCAGCACGCCCGACGGTGTCAGCCCCGACGCGCTGCACGGTGCGGAGATTGCCTGCGCGGCAAGCTGCCTCGCTGACCTCGTCGGCGAGATCGACCTCTCCGACGAACCGGCTTCTGACGCGGGCACAAGCTGCCCTGAGAGCCACCTCGTCAGCCTCCTCGACCAGCTCCATGTCGCCAGCGAGCCTGCTGCGGACCTGGAGTCCGTCGGCTCGACCGATCCGATGATCGTCGACTCCGACACGGCGTCGCTCGACGCGTTCCCCACCAACGTGGTGGTCTACGACGAGCCGCCTCCTCGCGAGTACAGCGGCGGGAGCATCGTCACGGAGGTGCTCGTCATCAACAGCGAGGGGCGCTCGGACGGGTGTACTCAAGATCCCCACGACGCCGCTCTGCGCGACCTCACGGCGCCCATCCCGAGGGCGCGGACGCTGAGGCGCTGGAGGCACGCCACCTCCAGCTTCTCGAAAATATTGGCCGCCTGGCCAGCATGCGCCGGCTTTCGGACGCCTATCGGCGCGAGATGGACCGGGCCGTAGGCGGCACGCCGGCTCCTGAGGGGCATAGCCGCCTCGGCACAGTTCGGTAGCGTGGCGCGACCGTCGCCAGCATGTTCGGGGCAGAGCGCCCCGTCTACGCCACACCTGCGGAAAACATCTGGGCCGCCCAGGAGGTAACAGATGAGCTGGACAAATGCGACGGCGACGAGCGCCGCCTCATGACGGAGCGAGTCCAGTAGCTCCTGGACGCGGCAGCCGCGCAGCACGAGGTCGCCTGCCGCGCCGAAGTCCCACCCGGACGAAACAACGAGCCGGCCCCACGCCGAGATCATGGGGCGACCTCCCGGACGCCGACTGGTGGCGCCCGCGGAGGAAAGGGCAACGAGCCGACTGCCAGCCGCAGTCGGACATGCCTCTCCATCGAGCGGGACGAAGACGGCCGCCCTCGCGCAGTAAAGGGGCAAGGCGACTTGCCGCCTTCCCCACCTCGTGGAGCAAGATACCCCACCCCGCCTCCTGTCACGCATCCGACACTCGGCGACCGCCTTGGCCGTCGGGAGGGAGTCGGAGAGAATGATGCTCGCCATCGGATAGATCGTCTCAACCGATCCCTGGTGCTCGAAGAAGAAGATGCGCTGGGCCCGCCCTGTTTCGGCCCCCGAATCCGAGATGAGCCCTTCCCTAAAGGGTTCACCCTCCCGCGAGACACACCCAAGTACACCGGACCCGTGAAGCCGGAGGACTGGCTGGTCGACTACTCCACGGCCGTCAGTATAGCGAACGGCAACAAGCGCGTTGCCCTGAAGTACGTCCCGCTCATGCTTCAGGGCACCGCCCGGACGTGGCTCAACAGCCTAAAGCCCCGCAGCATTAACAGCTGGGTTGATTTCACCGAGGTCTTCATTCGCAACTTCACCAGCACCCACAAGCGGGCTCCCAAGCCCCGACAGCTCTCCTTGTGCGTTCAAGGACTCACAGAGTCGACTCGCGACTACCTCACGCACTGGACCGAGGTGTGCAATTCCTGCGAAGGCGTGCACGAGGTGCAGGCGATCGAGTACTTCACCGCCGGGTGCCGAGAGGGCACCCTCCTCAAGCATCGATTCCTCTGCGACGAGCCCGAGACCCTCGATGAGCTGCTGGTCATCGCCGACAAGCATGCCACGGCCGACTCCTCCATGAAGGCGGAAATCCTGGTTGATGGATCCGGCAAGGTGGCCCCTCAGGCGCCTCGGACTCCGGCTGGTGACACCAGTCGACGACAGCAACCAGGAGATCACAAGTGGAAGGCCACCCAGCCGGCAGGTGGCGACAGTCGAGGATCAGCAGCCAGAAGGGCAGCCGGCCCCCAAGCGTCAGAAGGGCGGCAAGACCAATTGGTTGCCTGCTTTCTCTTACGAGCAAACCTTGGTTGCACCCTGCAAGTTCCATAGTGGCGCGAAGCCCTCCAACCACACAACTCGCAAGTGTCACTGGCTCACCAGAATTGCCAAGGGAGATGGACTCCTACCTCCTCCGCCTGCCGGCCCGCCGCCTCCTCAGCCGTAGCAGCCGGCGGCCCGGCCAGTCGGCGCCATACAAGACGAGTACTCGGAGGAGCATGGAGCCTACGTTGTGTTTACCAGCGTCGCCGATGACAGGCGCAGTAGACGGAAACAACAACAAGAAGTGCAAGCAGTGGCCTCCAGTACTCCAGAGTTCATGCATTGGTCCGAGAAGCCTATCAGTTGGAGCAGGGCCGACCACCCGGAAGTGATGCCTTCCCCTGGTTCATATGCCCTGGTCTTGGAAGCAATCCTTGCAACGGAGAGGCGGGCCGCCCGTTTCTCCAGAATCCTGATAGATGGCGGCAGCAGCATCAATATCCTGTACCGTGACACAATGGAGAAGTTGGGAATCAAGCAGAAGCAGCTCACCCCCAGTCGGACTGTTTTTCATGGCATAGTCCCTGGCCTTTCTTGCTCACCAATCGGCAAGACCCAGATTGATGTCCTCTTCGGAGACAAGAATCACTTCCGCGGAGAGTCAGTTTGGTTTGAAGTGGTGGACCTTGAGAGCCCCTACCATACCCTGCTTGGCCGGCCTGCTCTTGCCAAGTTCATGGCGGTCCCCCACTACGCCTACCTCAAGATGAAGATGCCAAGTACCAAGGGAATCCTGACAGTAGTCGGAGACTACAAGAGATCGATAGCCTGCGCTGCAGATAGCAGCAGGCTGGCCGAGTCCCTCGTGATCACTGCCAAGAAGCGGCTCCTTGAATGGGTGGTGG